AAGTACTAGAGAATGGCCCAACACCTCCCTGCACCCTCATGGGAGACCCGGAAGAAGCTCCTGGCTCCTGGCTTCAGATCAGCTCACCTCTGGCCATTGTGGCCATCTGGGGAGCGAACCAGCAGAGATGGACTATCTTTCTGGCTCTTCTGTCTGTAAGTCTGCCTTCCTAATAAAAATAAGTGTTAAAAAAAAAAAAAACAACCAGATGCTTCAAACACCACTGCTCTTCCTCCTCGCCTTCTTCATGCTGCCCAAATCCACCAGTGTGCCCAGCTGTGGGAATGTGCTTTTCTCATCAGTGCCATAGAGCCCCTCAGCCAGGCGGCCGGGGTGCCCATGTCCCCACTGCAGTGCCTGGCTGGGTCACTGCATCCTCTCCTCATCCCAGCCTCCCGCACGTGCCAACCTTGGGAGGCAGCAGGTGGTGGTGCAGGCCGCTGGATTCTTGTGTGTCATGGAAGAAACTTGAATTGAGTTTTCAGCTCCCAGCTGGCCCGATCCCCTCAGCTCCCAGCTTCTCCCAGGCCTGGCCCGATGCCCTCCAATCGCAGCGTCTGGAGAGTGAGCCAAGAGATGAGTCCTATCTAGCTGTTGCTTGATCCACCCTCTTGCCTACACAGTTATCTGTCTGCAAGTTTGCCTCTCAAATGAAGAAAGGGGTAGCTAAATATTAAACCCAGAGAAGGAGAGGAAAGAGAAGATATCCATTTCTCTTTTTAATAGATTTATTTACTTACTTATCTAGAAGGCAGAAGTAGAGGGGAGAGAGATGGTTATCCATCCATTGATTCACTCCCCCAGTGGTCACAAAGGCCAAGGCTAAGCCAGGAGCTTCAGCCACGTCTCTGCGGGGTTGGGGGTCACCGCTGGGTGGTCGTGCCTTTGACTCGAGGAACATGTGCAGAAGAGTCCAATCTACACAAATCCGTCAGCACCTCGGGGTGAGTTTGGGGAGTCTGCAGTCGTGTGTGACTCAACTGGGTTCGAAGCATTGTGTAGGCCTTCGAGAGAGAATTTAAAAGCAAATACAGGGCGCATCGTGGTTCCACATCTGAGTCTAGGTCCAAAAGAAACGAAAGCTGATGCCCGCGCGTGCCGCGGTGTTGTGGCCCAGACAGTAACACCCCAATGTACGATGCTTGAGCTTGCTGAGGACTTTGAACCGAGGAGCCTGGGAGGCCCAAGGCTGTCTGACCTTGTCCTATCCCCTTGCCTCCTTACCCCATTCCTCCTCCGGGGAGCCAGCCATAAAGACATTCTGCAACCTACCACCCTCCTTCCTAAGACGCCCCGCCCCACACCTGGGGGCTTCTGGGTCACTGCCACTTGGAGGTGCTGGGAAGAATCTGGACAGACAGACCCTGCTGGGTTCCCCTCCGTCCACCTCCATCGGGTTGCTGCCTTTGGATCAGCCAGTTTTTCACTCCCACAATACAAAATACCCAAGAAGAGCTGCCCACAAAGGGAGAAGGGTCACTGGGGTGGGTTTGGAGGTTCCCAGGGTCCCAGGGACCTGGTGAGGGTGGAGGCTGGACATGGAGGGGTGATCACAGGGAGCCAGGCGGGAAGCACACTCCGCACCAACCCGTGGCGATATAGTCTCCCCATTGCCGGCCACCTAAGCCTAGCCCATCACCTCCCGGGACCGAGACCCAGACACCATAACCGGATTATGTCTCATCTTTGATGCGCTCACGTACGACTCGAGCCGTCAAACCTTAAACTTGAGAGACTCTAGGGACAATGCAACCTGCTGTTCAAACTACAGCCCCCTTTCTGTCCAAGCACATTTCTACGCAGCTTTTCTCTCTGTTCAACAGACACATGAAAGCACACAGCTTCTCCTGGGTTTTTCTTTGCTTTATTTTTATTTATTTTTCATTTGAAAGGAGCATACAGATAGAGAAAGAGAGAGAGAATCTCCCATTCCTGGTTCATCGCACAAATGACTGCAACAGCCAGAGCTGGGCCAATCCAAAGTCAGAAACCAGGAGTTTCCAAGCAGGTGCAGGTCCCAAGGCTTTGGGCTGTCCTCGACTGCTTCCCCAGGCCGCAGGCAGGAAGCTGGGTGGCAAGTGGGGCAGCTGGGACTGGCACTCACATGAAATGCTGTCATTGCAGGGGTACTTAGCCTACTACAGCACAGCACTGTCCCTGCGTCTTCATTTCTAGAGGCTCGCAGATCACGTGACACTTTGATTAAATACATGCATATGTTTTTCCCTTGTTCACCTGTCTTTGGCTATAGGAGGGTTGGGGTGACCCTTCTGATGGGGGAGGACATGTGTCAGACTGTTGGACCCTACACAGCACCATTCAGCTTCCAGGTATCTGTCCATCTGTGGGTGCACAAGTGCCCTCACCCAGAGGAAATACACACACCAGCAACAGAGTATTAGCCAGCCTTAAAAAGAGTAACACACACTACACAGGGGTAGACCGTGAAGACATTATGCTAAGCAAAATAAGCCAGTTGCCAAAAGAACTATGATAGGAACCACTTGTGGCAGTCAAAGGCAGGCAGAAGGTATGTTGGCAGCCGGGGGCTGGGAGGGAAGCCGAACTGAAAAGTTTCTGTGTAAGAGCTTCATACCATGGTGATCATAGAAGAGCAACGTGTGGTACGTAAGGCCACCCAACAGTGCATTGAGAATGCCAAGGATGCTAGCGTTTCATGCTATATGCATTTCATCACAAACCAAATGAATTAACTTTAATGCATACACAGTCCCACTCATAGCAACACCCAGAGCTGTCACAACTTCTCCTAGCCTCTCACTCCGTGTAGGGGACAACAGGAAATATGGTCTGAATACACAAGGAAAGGAAATTATCGTTTCCCGCCCCCATGTCCTCTGCACTGTTTATGTAAAAATATTCTGCCTTCTCCAGTGTTTGGGCTCTCAGTAGCCTCCTCCTGGCAGGACCGGAAACCCTCAGGGCTGACATCTTTACTCTTTGTTCCTAAGCAACACAGAAAGTCAACCCACGAAACAGGATTTTCAATTCAAGGCAGTGTGACAAGAAACAGATTCTGCATTGGACTTCATCCCAACATCACTTCTCCAGCAGGGCCTCAGTTTATAAAGCATTGGCCTGTTTCTTTTGTTTGTTTGAGCAAGAAAATTAGAGAGGAGAGACAGAGAGAAACTTTCCATCTGTGGCTTCACCACTCAAACGCCCACAACAGACTGAGGCCGGCTGAAGTGAGGAGCCAGGAGCTTCTTCTAGGTCTCCCACGTGGGTGCAGGGCCCCAAGCAGGGCCATCTCCCACTGCTTCCCTAGGCACACTAGCAGCAGAAGTGGAAGAGCCAGGACTGAAACTGGTTCCTGTATGGGATGGAGGTCACCACAGTGCAGACCCCTGGAGAGCACTTTAAAGATGAATTTTGTTTATTTGCTCAAGAGAGAGACAGACCAAGGGCTCCCCTCTGTTGATTCACTCCCCACGCGCCCAGAGCTGTGGCCCCTGAGAGACAACTCAATCAGGCCTCCCGGCTGGGCTTCCAGCACCTAGAGCCTGGCACCACTGTTCCTTCTGTCTCTGCCAGCCTTCCGTTACAGCAAGCTGGAGGAAGCAGACAGAGCAGGTGTCAAATCTGGGTGCTAGAATGCCGGGCATTCTAACCTGCAGCTTCCATCCCTAACCCCAGAAACACCCCCTCAACATCCTTCATAACTGTATTGTCTCAGCGGCCGATTCCATTTTGTAACTTTTATCAAGTTCAAATTTTGTTCTCAGAATATGATATCATTACTCCAAGTTATTAAAAACTCCAAAGTTATTTGTGTTAACTGCAGAACAGGCGCCCAGAAGCTGCCTAACCAACCGCCCTGTGTTTAGATAGGCTTTGAAAACGTTCTAAGTGAAGCTCAGGGATAAAACACATTTTTCTTACAGATGCACAACTTCCTGGGAAGGCTAGCCTGTTGGACATGGCCCTCGATCACCTGAAAGACGCCCAGGTACCCACAGGCACAGCTGGGTACCCAGCTTGTCCCCCAGTCCTGCCGGCACAGGACGGTTAGAAATGCCCTTTACTATCTAAAGGGGGGAGGGCTTTACGAGTCTTCAACTTCTTCCACTCCTCCGTTCTATTTTCCCAATCCTTTGAGTCCCATTGCCTTGGTACCATTGCACAAGCCCTTTAGGATGCCTGTTGTCAAAATCTCAAGAAAAAAAAAAAAAGCGGACGACATTTGATTGCTGTAATCTGCTCATTGAAATCCTGTCCAGTAAGGTGAACTGTCAGTTTGCAAGGTGCAAGGGTGGCTGGGCATGCGTCCCGAGGCAGCAAGACCCCATTCCAGCGAGGAGACCTGGAAGCCAAGGGTACCCTCCAGATGCCCCAAGGCAGGCTCCACCGCGCCCGCACGCGTTCCCCCGGCGCCCAGCTCTCGGGGGCCGCGCACGTAGGCACTTTCTAAGCCCGCCCCCGGCTCACTCAGTCAGCGAGCCCCTCTGAGAACCGCGTCTCCGATGCGTCCCCTTCCCGCTCCGCGATCCGTGCAGCCGGACACCTGGAAGCGGAGACCGTCCTCTATGCGCCTTGGTGTGTGGGAGCCCGCGGGGCTCTAAACTCGCTTCATGATTCTCCAAGGAATCTAACCGGGGCTGCGGGGTGGGCGCCCCGACCCTAAGGCCGGCCTGAGGGACAGCGCCGTCGGAAACGCCCCCCTTCCCTGGCCTTCCCTGCGGCCTCCAGTGTCACTTCCCGCCGTCCCCTCCCCGCACTTCCTCGCCCTGGCCCCGGCACACCCCTCTCCCACCGGGTTTTCCTTTGTCCGCGTTGCGCACCCTTGCCCCGGACTTCCCGAGTCCTCTCCTGGACTTGCCTTGTCTCCGCCCCGAAGTCCCGAAGCGCCCTGTCCTCCGGCTTTCCAGGTCCCCTCCCCGCTCCGCCCCGTTTTTAAAACCTGGCGCCGAGCGCGCGGGAAGGTGAGCGCCTGGCAGTGCCGGGCAGCCGCTGGAGCGCGCTGCAGCTTCTCCGGCAACATGAGACCCGAGGCGGCGGCTGGAGCCCCGGAGGCGCGGGGACAAGGCTGTCACTGCCCCGAGGATGGTTCCCCGAGGTCACCGCCACCGCGCGGGTCCGAGAGGTGAGGGTGTCCCCGCGGTGACCCGGTGGGGCGCAAGGGGAGAAGCGCGCACCGGGAGCGCAACCAGCGCCGCGGAGCCCGACGGCAACGTCTGGCTAGCTGGTTAGCTAGACATAGCGGTGCACAGGGTCCTCTGCCCGCGACGCGTTCGGTGCTGGGAAGAGCACGGAGGTGCACCGGACTTATCTAGCCAGGAAATGGGCCCGCGCCTTCTGTTTCTGGAAGATCTGAAATTGCCCCACCCCCCACCCCCAAGGCTGGGAAGCAGAAATCTCATAAGCCATCGGCTTCGAGTTCCCTGCTGGTTGTGGCGGAGGTGACTCTCTCTCCGCAGCGCCTGAGTCAGGACAGAGAACTGCCCCCTGCCCACGGCAGGGCAACAGCAGTCAGGGCGCTGAGTTAGGCACAGACCTGAGAACCGGAGGAGACTTCTGGCGGTGCCCCGTGTGACATCAGATAGAACAGTGACCCCGGGATGCCATTTCACGAGCTAGGTGACCTGCCTGCCCTTCACTCTGCCCTGTACTCCTTACAGCCCCACACCGTGGAGACCGTGGACGGCGACGCCCGGAGATACCCAGCTGGCCGCCGCAACGGGGAGCCCGGGCAGGGTAAGTGAGCTCCCTGCAGGGGCCAGGCCACCCCTCCCTTGCAGTGAGGGAAGGCGGGCGCCCCTCTCCTCTGGCTACCTGACCCTCAGTATGGAGACTTGGAATCTGGGAGCTGCAATCCCTGGCGAGCCTGGTGGCCGCTGGACCCCAGTCACCGGCAAATCGCTTTCCTGGTGGCTGTGCCTTTCTTGAAAAGTTAAGCCAACCAGGGCATGACCAATCTCCTGGGAGTCCACCGGGATTTTTTTTTTCCCCTGGTGGGGGCTACTTCCGCACTAATCCGCCTAGGAGAGGAGAGAGGCTGCCCCTCGCCTGCCTGCCCCCCACACTGGAGGGAAGCTGAGTGCGCTCTTGACGCTGGGCAAACAGGGGCAGCGCCGGGCTAGGTGCCCACGGCGTGCCCCCGCCCACCCGCCGTCGGGCCCCTCTGGAGCACTGTGGACTCGGGCAGCAGACCCTGCGAGGAGGCGGCTGGTGTTGTCTGAGCAAATACACTTTAGCCGGGCTCTGTCGGGGAGATGAATGACCCGGACCCCTCTGTGTTCCTGCCTGAGTAGCCGGGTTGCTTCCTGCTTCAACCGAGTGAACACTGGCTTTGCATGAGTTTGCCTTTCCTTTGTTTCCTTTCAAAAATATGAAAGGATGGTTTTCAACACACTGAGGAGTTCATCTGGCGAGGAAGGACCCTGCCTTGAAGCCGCAGAACTCAGGTGGCACGAGGCTTAGTGCGTGGCTTGCAGTAGGATAAGAGAAAGAATAGCACAGGACAGCGGGCCTGCACTGTCCTGTGCCTTGGGATACTTACTTAGGAAAATCTGAATGTTAGAAATGGTGTTTCAATTACCGTAGACAATTTAAGAGTGAAGCAAATGAAATCTATATCAAATGAACAAGAGATGATTTTTTTTTAAGCCCCAAACATTCTTACCTACCACGGCTACATAATTCCTCTTTTACATGCAAACAGAAGCTCTTAGCAAGATTTAAAGTGGATGCAAGAGAGAGAATAAAGATGTTTGCCATTATTCATTTTTCTTTTAATTGACACCTGCTCTGGACGTGAGCCCTGTGGGTGTTTGCAAGAATCCTACATAGCTCCTAATGTTATGCAAGGTGGCTTTGGGGTTTTCCTTCTCTTGTGAGAAAAAAGATGACTTGCTAGTGGATGGCCAGCCTGCCTTGCTGAGGCAAGCCTAAATGGATGCAGGGAGGGTGGGTGTTGCCCGTCCACCAACACAACCCTACTCCCTGTCCAGCTTTTGGGAGAGTCCCGTAATAGAGCAATAGAGCAGACAGCCAGGCTTGGGGAAGAAGCTTCTTGTTCCACAGCGCCCTCTCCTGACCAAGCTGGAGCTCTCCTGGGCTCCAGGGCCCAGTCCCCTAGAGTTCCTCAAGCTGTGAGGGTGACCTAACCCTAACTCAGGAGAAGATCTCCAGGTCCTGTGCCTGAGCTGACCATGCTCGCCTCCTCCTCCTCCATCTGCTCTCCATGGCCACTCCCTGCTCTGTGCGCCTGTGATTTCCTGGAAGGGATCAAGGCCTGGGGTCTTGGGCCAATCCCATCTTCCCAGCTTCTCACACGTGCAGGGTGGTCTTTGCCCAACCAGAGGCTGGTGTAGCGAAGGGAAGGCAACTTTGCTCTTTTTATGACTTCTGCTGTCTGCCTCCCAGGAAAAGCACTCCTGTGTATTCTGGTGAACCCTGCTCCTAGCTGGTTATGTTCCTAATGGTCAGAATCTGAAATTTTGCCAAGTCTTGTTACTATAACAAAATGCCTGAGGTAGGTTACTTATAAATAAAAGATGTGCAAAGCAGCTCACACCTCTGCTCTGAGGCCTGGGGTCTGCCTTTAGTGATGTCCTTGTTGGCTGGGTCCCCGGGCAGCACAGGACACCCCCTGGGGTTGAGACAGTGTAGGTGTGTTCTGGTCTCTTTCTCTCTGTGAAGCCACCAGGATTTAGTCACAGGCTCCACCTTGCTGACTTTATCTCATGTCAACACACAATCCTTCTGGGACAGGTTTGGGCCACCTCCAAACCACAGCCAGACCTCATTTAGCTCTCCTTAACTCATCGCTGGTTTTTTGTTATTGTTGTTTGTTTTTTTAAGATTCTTTACAGAGAGAGAAAGAGAGAGAGATGGTTCTCTATCCCATGGTTCACTTCCCAAATGGCCTCAATGGCCAGAGCTGAGTTCATGTGAATCTGGGTGCCAGGAGCCTCTTCCCAGTCTCCCTCATGGTGGGTAGAATCCAAAGACCTTGGACTGTCATCTTACGCTGTGTTCCCAGACCACAAGCAGGGAGCTGGATTGGAATGGAAATAGTCAGGACTCAAATCTGCCCATATGGGATGCCAGTGACTGCAGGCAGAGGATTAATCTGCCACGTCGCCATGCGGCCCCCAATCACCATGTTTTATACAAATAGAGCTGATGGGACGCAGTGTCCGCAAAGGCTCACTTCATGCCAGTTTGTGCACAGGTGTAGCATACATGTACAAACATACATGCATGTATTACACACACACACCAGGGTCCCCTGCAGGATGGCTTGACGTGGAGATCAACCTCATCCCAGCCCTAAGTCCTCTCTTGTCACACCATAGCAGACTTTGCCCCATATCCCAGCACAAGGGTCCAGCACAAGGACTCCTGAAAGCTTAGGGTTTTGGGGGTCTAGCACCGTAGTCCATTTCGGGTCACCTCAGGATGTCCCCTCCTCCACTTCCCACTAAGGCTAAACCTTCAATAGAGCCTGGAGCTCCAACCGTGACTTCCTGCCCATCAATCCTTCATGCAAACCCATTCGGGGCCGCCTGGCACCCCAGGAGTGTGGGAGATGGGGAGTAACACTCACAGGTGGGTGTCCCCTGCACCCTCCTTGTCACCCTGCTGTGCTATTGGTGTAGATGAGCAGGCTCTCTGCTTGACTCTCATGCTCATTCCTGTTATCCTTTGTACCCAGGGCTCGTGCAGGCTCCCCTCTCCTGGGCTCGTCATCCGCTAGTGGGTGTCCATGAAATGTGCTGGGAATCTGCTTCTCCTTTGCCTGCCCATTGCTCTTAGTGGAGATCACACTCTTTACAAAGTTTTCCTTTTTCAGGACTGGGACCATTGCACAACAGACCAATCCTCTACCTGCAGGTGCCAAGATCCTGTAAGGGTGCTGGCTTTAGTCCCAGCTGTTGTACTTCCCATTCAGCTCCCTGCTCTTGGCCTGAGAAAGCAGCAGAGGATGGCCCAGGTCCTTAGGCACCTGCATCTGCATGCTAGAGCTGGAAGAAGCTCCTGACTCCTGGCTTGAGAGCAGCTCAGCCCCAGCCGTTGTGGCCATTTGGGGAGTCAACCAAGGGATGGACGATCTGTCTCTCTTTCTGTAAATATATAAATCTGCCTTTCAAATAAAAACAAATAAAATCATTAAGAAAAAACTTCTTATTTTCATCTCTTTAAAAGGCAAAGAAGCTACCTCCCACCTGCTGGGCCACTCCCCAAATGCTCACACAAGCTATGAATCACAAACTTCCACCTGGGGCTCCCACATTGGTGGCAGGGACTCAGGTCCTTGAGCTGTGATCTGGTGTTTCTCCGGGTGCACATTAGCAGGCAGCCAGATCAGAAACAGTTACAGGGAGTAGTTGCCCCAAGTGGCAAGAGAACGGCTGCCATCAAATGCCCACCTTTAAGTTCACAAGTCTTCTCTTGCCAGGACAGGTACCTCCAAAGGTGATGCGGATGGCACCCTTGGGCAGGCACCTTGACCTGTCTGTGTCTGTTTTTGCAGCTGGAGCCTGGGGGAGACGGACGACACGCTTTAGGATCCAAGGGGGCCTTCGGGTTCCAACATCCGGTCAGGTAACCTGTGGACACTGAGACATCTGTCAGTTCACTTTCATGCCAGCACAGATCCCCTTTGGTGTCTTCAGCCAAGTGGCCAATAGCGCCATGCTGTTTGGTTTGCACATACCCAGGAGTTGAAGGCTGTCTCCTTGGGTTTCTGGCATCCACCTGTGTGAGTTAGGAATCGCTCGTCTTGTTTGCTTTTGGCCTACGTCTCTGGATATCGCGCCTCGTGTTCAAGTCCACTGCATAGGAACCATCAGTGCACACATGCTTAGAGATGGAGGCTCATTAGTGTTTCTCTCCTGGGATACAAACCAGCCCAGAGTCGACGTGATTAGGACTCCGTAACAAGCCATGGCAGTAGTGGCTCATGTGCAGGATTTCTATCCATCTTCATCTACCTTGCTCTCCTTCCCATCACCCATACTGACCACACCTGTGCCATCACTGCGCCTTGGGGTGTTCTCAGCCAGGTTAGCCTGAAAAACCAGAGATGTTCGTTTGGAGTGATGAATGTCCCTCAGACTGGCTGTGCTGATCTTTCCTGCTTCATGGTGTCCCTCGCAGCTGTGGCTTCCATTCTCCTAGCATGGCTGGGGATGCTTTTAAACATGTGCTCGCCGGTGCAAGCACTTGACCTGATGGGTAAGACACCTGTTGAGAGACCCACACCCCGTTATTCGAGTTCTTGGGTTCAAGTCTTGGCTCTGCTTCAGAGTCCAGCTTCCCATTAGTGCACACCTAGTGAGGCAGTAGCTGATGCTGGTCCCAGGAGTTGAGTCCCTGCCAGCCCATGTGGAAGACCTGGGTGGAGTCCAGGCTCCCCGCTACAGCGTGGCCCAAACCCGTACAATAGCTGTTGGGGGGGCATTTAGAGAGCGAAGCAGTACATGGGCACTCTCCCTGTCTCTCTGCTTCTCCAATAAATTAAAACAGCAGGGGCCTGGCTAGTTCTGCCAGGGACTGGCTCCCAGGTCAGGCTGGGGCATCTGTAGTTTTAGAGGCTCCTGGCTGGTGCTGGGGGGATTACCACCTGCTTGATGCCCTGCAAGGATTCATTTGCTCCCTTGCTCACAGTTCCCCCGGAGGCACCCTGCACCCGCTGCCCCACCGCCCCACTCCAGGGCCTGCCCCACTAACACTCAGGAGGAGGGGAGGGCACTGTCCTGGGTGTTGTAAGATGTTCAGCGGTGACCTGGCCGACCTGGCCTCCATCTGCTGCCGGCTAGTACCTTCCACTTAGTGGTGATGAATAAGAATGTCCCCCGGCATCGCAGCAGCTGTGACTTGTCACGTATTGTTTTCACCCTTTCTGCATCGGTCCTTCCTCCACCTGTGAAGGGGCTGTGGCGTCAGCTTTGCCAATCACAGGGATGCACAAAATCTCTCACGGCTTTGAAAGCACATGGAGAAAAGCCAGGGAGTTTGCAAGCGGTGGGTACTTGCAGGATTTAAAACAAACAAACAAAGAAAACAAAACACAAGGGAGAGAGGAGTAGGTTGTAAGTATTTCCTGTGCCTAAAGCCATCATCTCCAAAGTATCGGAGTTCCAGATTGCACATTTTTAAGTCTTCGCTTCCTTTCCCAAGCTTGTCCTTTCCGTTCTGGCAAAGCAAAGGCCCTGCCCTGTGAGCGTCTCTAGGGCAACCGCTGCTGAGCTGACCTGCTTCCTTGCCAGCACCACAGGGCTTGGAGCAGTGGTGGCCTAGCCCAGCCACCTGTTACCAAGGCAGCAGGGCGCCAGGCCTTCAGCTGCGTCTTGGAGTTCAGGGTCCTTGAGTGTTGTTGGGGAGCGGCTCTTCTCCTTCCTGTGTTTCTAACAGACCAGCTTCAGTCCAAAGAGACAGAGAGAGGAAAGAAGGGAGGGAGGGAGGGAGGGAGAAGGAAGAAGGAAGGAAGGAAGGAAGGAAGGAAGGAAGGAAGGAAGGAAGGAAGGAAGGAAGGAAGGAAAGAACCAACCAAAACCCCTGAAGTCTGTATGTAGTGAGGCAGGTCTGGGAGGAGTGGGGAGGTAGTGGGATTGTTGGCTTGCTGCTAGGGAAAAGTGGAAGGCGACTGCAGACTAACGGGTTGTTTCTGGAATGCCACAGGCTCTACCTCCCCGTTTCCAAGCGCCAGGAGTACCTGCAGAGCTCCGGGGAGAAGGTGCTGGCCAGCTTCCCTGTGCAGGCCACCATTCACTTCTACAACGACGAATCCGACGGGTCTGATGACGAAGGTGACGACCAGGAGCAAGAGGCCGAGGGGCCAGGGAACGCGGCTCCCCAGGCAGAGCCCAGCTGATCCATGGTGGCCCCTGTGGCAGGGGTCAGCTTCCAGCCGGAGACTCCCCCAGAGGCGGGCCCTGCTCTTCAGCCAAGTGAAGGAGCTCCTCTCTCAAAAGCATCTCCCTCCTCCAGACGCCACTGCCACTACTGTGCCAGGACACCGCCTCTGCTGGGTTAGCAGAGACTTGGAGCACCAGGACGCGGAGGAGAGGGCTGCCTCGGGTCAGCTCTCGGCGCCTGGAAGCACTCAGCCTTTTTCCTTTTCTCTCTTGGCCCGATTTCTCAGTGTACCCCGTGTATTCTACATCTTTACCAAAAGATGTTAAACTCGTGGGGGAAGGGGCGTGTCCACGTGGGTTGTGTCCAGGGAAGGCCAACTTTGTTGACCAGATGGCCAGAGAGCCCTGTGGGGACTAGGGACCCAGCTCTGTTTCTCACTGAATACTCCTATTTAGTGATTTCTTTATTATTTTTAACTTGCATAAAAATGAGTTTGCCATTATATCTCATTTTAACCCAGTGCCCAAGGGTGATTGTGGTTGGAGCAGTTTGGAGAGGTGACAGAAATTGACTTAATAAAAAGCAAGCAGCAAAGCCAAAGCACTGGTAATTTCCCGAAGAGGAGCCAATGGTGGGGGATTTCTGAGGGCTGAGCCCGCGTGTGTGACCTGGGGGTTTATCCGTGGCGGAACACTGACTCTGGCCGGGAGTGATTCAGTGTTGACAAAGCAACATTTTTCAGCTAAAGCATCTAATGTAAAGTTATTTTGATTTTTAAAAATATTTTGATAGCTAAAGAACTGAATTCCTCTAGATTTTTAAACTAATTTTCTTACATGCAGGTTTCTTCATAAAAAGTACATTTTACGGGATAAATTTCTACTTGAAATAAATATTTTGAAGAAAAGAATGGTTGAGAATTGCTTCTTTTTCTTTTGTTTTAAGATATGTTTAAGATTCCATTAGTTCCTGCTTTGGGAGTCTTGAAAGTCCTTGAGATTTTTAAGACAATATTTATTCTTTTTTAGAATACAGAACGAAAAAGAAAATGACCTGTAACCTCAGTGCTCACACTGCACTCTGCTGCTTTAAAATATGGATAATACGTGCAACCGGTTCCACAAACCGAAAAGTGCACACTACAAGGTTATCCTCCACTGTTGCTCCTGTCGAAAGTGAGCGGCAGTTGCTTTTAGGAGAGACAGAGAGAGAGAACATCTGTCCACTGATTCACCCCCCAGAGGGCCACAGTGGCTGTGCAGGCAGAGGGCAGAAGCCCGGAATTCTGTCCGAACCTCCCACTCGGGTGGCATGGGTCCAAGCACTCAGGGCGTCTTCCATTGCTTTCTCAAGCACATTTTATCAAGAAGCTCTGATGTAGGGGGCAGCTTCACAGACAACAGGTTCATCGGCAGTGCTGCGACTCTGGTCCACCGTACAGACTTTCTGAAAATCCCTCGTCTGTTAGATTGGACGTCTCTTTCACTCTCTACATATTTAATAATATCAGGCTATATCACAGAGAAGTATCAACTCAAAGAAAAGACATGCATTGGGGTGAGCATTGTGCAGCGGTTTAAGCTGCCTCTTGGAACACCTGCATTGCGTATTTGGGTCCCTGTTCGAATCCTGGCTGTTCCATTTTTCCAGTTCAACTTCTGCTAAGGTGGAGAGTCAGCAGATGATGACCCAAGCCCTTGGGCCCCTGCTGCCCGTGGGGAATCCAGGTGGAGTTCCTGGCTTGTGACCTTGACCTAACCCAGTTTGGGCTATTGCAAGTATTTGGGAAGTACACCAACAGCTAGAAGATACCTCTTCCTCATTCTGTCACTTTATTTTCAAATTAATATTTTTTAATTAAGTATTTAGTAAATCATGGTGTCTCAGCCACCATTTTTTGCAGAAGTTTTTGTTGAGATTTCATAAGTAAACTTCCATCATGTCTTGACAATCAACTCATTGTTGGAACCAAATGAGAGAGGTTCAATTTTTACTTGGCTGTATAATCACGTTTTAGCAAAAAGCATATGAAATGCATTGAAACTCTTTGGAATATGCCTAAACAATGGAATGTTTTTACATAGAGACCTGATTTTTTTTAAGGGAATGTTCAGTTTTAGCAAGAAAAAGCAACCAATGTAAAAAATGATTCCAAGCCTCCATTTGAAAATTTTCATTTCATAGCAAGAGTTGTTTTTGACCTAATGCTTTATCAATGGTTGTTAACAGCATTATCTTGGCGTCAAAGAAGCACAGTGCTTTCCTATTTAAAAAGATTTATTTATTTTCATTGGAAAGGCAGATTTACAGAGAGAGGGGAGATAGAGAGATTTTCCATCTGCTGGTTCACTCCCCAAGTGACCACAATGGCCAGAGCTACGCCGATCCAAAGCCAGGAGCCAGGAGCTTCTTCCTGGTCTCCCATACAGGTGCAGGGTCCCAAGGCTTTGAACCATCCTCTACTGCTTTCCCAGGCCACAAGCAGGGAGCTGGCAGGGACATGCTGGGACATGAACTGATGCCCATATGGGATACTAGCACTTGCAGGAGGATTAGCCAGTTAAGTGATTACACCAAGCCCCGGGTTTAAATATTTTTAACTCCCGATTAAGTGGTATTTTTTATTTTTCTTTAAATATTTATTTTAATTACTTGAAAGAATTTTAGAAAGGAGAGATACATAGAGATCTTCCATCTACTTGTTCACTCCCCAGTTGGCTGCAACATCCAGGGCTGGGGCTGGCCCAAACCAGGAGCTTCTTCCATGTCTTCCATGTGGATACAGGAGCCGAGGCACTTAAACCCTCTTCCTCTGCTTTCCCAGGAGCAGTAGCAGGGAACCAGATCAGAAGTGGAGCAGCCAAGATTTGAATAGGCACCCATATGGGATGCTGGTGACACAGGTGGCTTAAATTGTTGTCCTGCAGTGCCAGTGTCAGGTAGCATACCTCTAAGTCTCACTTAGCCTAGACAAGGTCAGACAAATGTTAAAATGCTTGCTGCTCTTGAGAGCTTTGTCAAAGATGATTGCCTAACCCCCGTGTGGTTGAAAATGCTTTCACAGTACCTTCTCATAAGGTGACATAGGCTTCCAGAGTTTTCTCTTGTAAAAGTTTCTCTTTCCCTCTTAAAATTAACCCTATGATCTAACATCTGAAAGTCAGGAAGCTACCATTGGTCTGATGTTCCTCCTACTTTTCTTTCTAATTTTCTTTCTTGTTCTATGGGTAATCTGGGGGCTGGTGTTGCAGTACAGTGGGTTAAGCTGCCACGTGCGACACAGGCATGAGTCATCCTTTGAGTCCCAGCTGCTCACTTACCATCCAGCTCCCTGCTAGCACACCTGGGAAAGCAGTGGATGATGGATGATGGTGTAAGTGCTTGGGCCCCTGCCACATGCATGGGAGACCTGGATAAAATTCCTGGATCCTGGCTTCAGCATGGCCCAGTCCTGGCTATTGCTCTCTCTTTCTCTCTCTCTCTCTTTCTCCGTCTCTCTCTCCCTCCTCTGTCTCTCTCAATCTCTCTCACATTTGCCTGTGCTCCTACAAGGAGGGATCAGCTGCATCTGACTTATGAACCCCATCTCCTCAGTTCTCCCCAGTCTCCCTGACTCCCCATTGCTTCACCCTCTCCCTTTACATTTGGTGTCTCTGAAGCATCTTGCCTGATAGTGACGAAGCAGGTGGATTTCACAGCTGCTGTCTATATCTCTGCCTGGAGTCATCCATAAGCTCATCAGAGCAGCTACTCCCACCACAGTTACCCTGAGCCAAGCTTCCCATCAAGTATATATTTGTAAAGCAGTTGCTTGTGGTGGTGACGACTGAGTATCCTTCTGTTAGTGTCACAGAAAAAAATTGCCAGTATGCAGACTCTTGCAACCATGTCAGAAACACCTGTACCTTCACCCCAACTCTGTAGCCCATCTTCCGCACTGCCCACCTTGTGGTAATGCTGGTTTATTCAAATCTCCAGGCATGTTTACTTTGAGTCTTTCAACAGACTGTTAAGGAAATACACTCCTGTTTGTTGTCGTGTTGTTTTCAATCAGTTTTACTGTAGTGGGAAGATAACATGTTTTCTATGTCTCTTTTGTAATAAAACAAAAAAGAAAAAACAAAAAAGAAATTGTAAAAAGAAAGCTGCTTAGCATTTACGTTTGGTGCCATTTTGTAAAATACTGGATTAAGACCTTTTATGTCTAGCCTGGCCTTGCCGTAACCATTATGGCTATTTGAAGAGTGAACCAGCAGATGGAAGATATTCTCTCTCTTTCTCTCTCTCTCTGTCTCTCTCCTTCTTTGTGTGTAACTCTGCCTTTCAAATAAATACACAAATCCTTTTTTTTTTCCTTAGCAAGAAAAGGGAATACAGAAAATTCAATTCTTTTTGTCACAAATCTGTGCTGTTGACCAAAGAGAGTGATCCCATTAATAGATCAACAAGATAATGTAGCATCTTTCTTCTAGAATTTTCCAAGGCACAGTATACAATGCATCTTCAGTGGCGGTGACTTCACGCTGGAAGAACAACACACTTGTTATTAAACAAGTCTGTGGGGCCCGGCGCGGTAGCCTAGCGGCTAACGTCCTTGCCTTGAAAGCACTGGGATCCCATATGGGCACTGGTTCTAGTCCCGGCAGCTCCATTTCCCATCCAGCTCCCTGCTTGTGGTCTGGGAAAGCAGTCGAGGATGGCCCAAAGCCTTGGGACCTTTTACCCGCTTGGGATGCCTGGAAGAAGTTCCTGGCTCCTGGCTTCGGATGGGCACAGCACTGGCTGTTGCGGTCACTTGGGAGTGACTCATTGGATGGAAGATCTTCCTCTCTGTCTCTTCTCCTCTCTGTGTATCTGACTTTGTTGTAAAAATAAAGCAAAAATCTTAAAAAAAAAAAAAGTCTGCCCCAACATGAAACACAGGCCGTCAACCAGGCAGAATGCTCGTGGATTCTACCTGTCAGAACTCAGGAACAAATTCTGGCTTCAGAGAAAGGCACTTGAGACTTTTACATT